ATTACTCAATTTCGCTTGACAGCCGCCTCAGCTCTCCCCGCGCGGAGGGGGCGGGGCACTTCCGACATCTCGCTTTCCGAATTCGCCTTCGGGGAATCCCCAGGCGCTGCCACACAGTGGTCTCGAATGGGACAACTCACGCGTGGAGTGTGTGTGAATACAGATTTTCACTGAGTTGCGAACACGCATTTTTTTTACTATTTAAATCAAATATCTGTTCCTTTGTAGGCATTTTAACGCACTTGTTCTAATACCGGTGGTCTTCCTGGAGGTATTACAAACTGTTTGCAAGATAAATTATTAATGGAGCTAGAAACGGTCAAAACGCCATCACGTCTACTTTCATTTTGAATACATAACTATTTTTAAACTGCTCTTCTGTGGATTTAGGTAAATGGCCTATATTCATGCATTTGCCCCTATTTAATTATTCATCCTAGACATACGTCCAACTACATCCATAATGAGTCTAGAAAGTCAAAATACATCCACTTTCATTCAGAGGCCAAGGCATTTTCAAACTGCTCTCATGTAAAATTCGTTGAGTGTGGCCCGTGAACACCAAGGTACAAGTTTTTTAACGGGGTTATAATGACAAGGGACAATATATAATGTATAATGATATGTACATGATATTTACAAATTATGATAAACAAATAAAGATATTGTCTGGTATCAATACTTTTTATTCAGCTTATGATCGTTTCGATCGCGTAGCGATCATCCTCAGAGCTTGCAGCTTCTGGGCCCAAAACAAAGTTCTGCAGAACTGCGATCGAAACGATCATAAGCTGAATAAAAAGTATTGATACCAGACAATATCTTTATTTGTTTATCATAATAAAAAGGTATCTACCTCACCAGCGATCCAATTAATTACAAATTGTTACTTACGTAAGAAAATTAGAAAATATACCTGCAATTTCTGGATCCTAGTATGAGAAGAATGAACGTTTCAGGAGGATCAATGTACTTTCTTCGTATTTATAGGAAAATTGTCAGAATAATAATGAATTTTGCTTTTCCCATTAATACCCAACTTTTCCTCCTGATCGTGAACACTGTGCGCTAGCAAATACGATCGCGTGGCTCTGGGTTCCCCATGGAGCGCCCCACGCGCCAGAAGGGTGCTTCCGGGAACTGCCTGACCTCACCTTCCTCGCCCCCGCCACGCCCACTCCTTCCCACCTAGTTTATCTTACCCGCCCTCTGCTCCTTTCCCGAACCTTCAGTCACCCCCTCTGCATGGGCGGAAGGTCATAAGGATCTAATCTCGGCGGTGGTCGATTTTCTACCTACGTGGATACGTTTATGGAATTCAACCACTCTGGAGGCGATAATTCTTGCAGCCGGCTGCTCTGATCGATAGTTCTCCGTGGTCGTATCTGTAGTTATCGCATCATTACCTTGCTAATTTCAAAAAGTATCCTAACAAACGGGTCACGGATTGCGCATAATGTTTCGTTCCTCATCCTTGCCCCACAAGATACCTTATGGGGGAATCCCCACAAGTCGACCTGGAGGTCGGCGTCGGATCTCACGTTTCGGCACTATAGGAACCCAGGCACGTGTCGAGATATAACATGTACTACACATACGGGACTAATGACCTAAGTGGGTGATGCTCTCAGAATCATCAAATACTCACTGACCTGCTCTACACTGCCGTGTGTCCACCGGCGTTCCAATTATTCCGGCGTTTAATGTGAGTACCTAGTATTCCAGAAAACATTTTCAGACTCGCTGGCTTCTTTAAGCCTTTTTAAGCATTTGCTTGTCGATTCTTCCTTCGTTTTACTCTTTCTGTATCTATAATTTCTGCCTACTTTCGTGACTGTTTCCAGTTGTTCATAGCGACAAGGTCTGCTATCGCACCGAGGCACCATCGCGTTTAATGTTATGCTTCCTGCTTACTTCATTGCGGGGAATGCTTATTTCGGCGTACCTTACCTAGCATGTTTCAGTCAAATCGTTTTGACTGAGTCCTGGTACCCCGTTCCACTATTCGTATGAACGTCTTTGTTTCTCTGCGAACACGCGATCAGCTCCCTTCACACTGCTTTTCCTCTGCGGCGAAGTGATGCTCTTCTCTCCGCTCTCCTAACCTCGGGCCGGTTTGGCCGTTATTCATTCGTCAGTGTTGTACGCCGCCCCACGCCGCTTCCATTTTCTGCCCTTTGGCCTCGCGTGGTGGGCTGTACGGTTTCGAGCGAGCCGGCCCCGGTCCCCCGAAGCGGAGAGTGAAAGTGATGTGTGCTTGGGGAAGGCTCTGGGCAGGTGTCAGCGGCGGCTGCTGGCGGATTGCTCCCGGGGGCCGTGGGGTGGATCTGCTTCCAGGAATACTAAATGGGAATGAAATATTTACTGGAACTTTCAGCAGTGTCCTCTTTGTCGGGTTTCTAGAACAGGAATGTCAATTAGAACTTCTTTGAAATCTACAGCGTTCAAACTCCTAGTACAGATCAGTGACAGAAAACGAGTCCGTGCCGTTTGCTGAGTGGAATCCCACATATTTCCTGCGTAAAATCATGCCTGGAACATTCGTTTTATGACGGTCATTTCATTTTGTGAATATTGTTCCGAATATTAGGATTTAAGAGTTAATCAGACCAATGTATCTGGTTATATAGAGAATCGCGGCAGCGTAGTGGTTAGGATACACGATTAACCTGAGGTACCCGGGTTCAAATCTCGTCATATCTGAGGGCCGCTCAAGACCTATTCAAGTCGGCCCTAAGTTTCACACAGTATTCTTTCCAAATATTTTACTAGTTGTATTGACGGTGAACATTGGGGAAAATATACGGCTGAAGCATGACCCTTGACTCGCCAACTTCAACCCACATCCGAAGTCATAATAAAACTTATTAGAGATTTCTGATACATTTACTTAACAGAGCTTCGTGGAAGTAAGTAGTTACTGGGAAAGGCTGACACATAATCCATTCCTTATCCTAATAGGTATAATACTAAAAGTACAAAACGAAAAAGGGAAACAGCTTCTTTAATGACTAAATATTGTTTGATGACTTAACAGCTAGTTAAACTACACCTGTCACTGTATCTGAATTTACGTTCATAAAATGTGTTCTTGTATTGAGAGAAAGGACTTTAAAATGCTTGGTGTCACGATCGCTGGCATCGTGATCTTCTCCCACAAGACAGTTTCCAGGTATCAAAATCCATAATAAAAATCAATAAATAATCACAATAATAATCACAGTTTCAATAAAAAATGAAGCAATTTACTGTTTATAGTTCTTGTCAGTAAAGTCATGATAGTAAATACGCAATGTACTACTACAGAGTGATAATATTACCAATATATATGAAGTTGTAGATCCACTGATCTTCCGTGCATTGGCTTCTTATTAAGACATTTATTTCTGTATGAGGGGACTAGTCCCATTCATCGTGGAAAATCGTGGCAAACGGAGCTTTTAACAAAAACAGAAACGATACCATAAAATATTAAGTTTATGAATTCTCTGAGTGATATTCTGCATATAAATATTATGCATGTGATCTATTTAATTTTCATTCGCAAATGTTTCACAAGTTATTTCCTTTATTCTTTTCCAATGTACTCAAATTTCCTTCGTGGAAAATCCTTACATTGTAGAAAAGAATGGAGCTTATATTTGAAATAAGCATGTCAAAGACTACAGATGAAATTTCTCAAACAATTTTCCATAAGCCAAATTTTGTAGGCATGTGTAATTAATATGATAGAAAATTGCATTTCTGATACGAGGGTCGAGAGAAATAGATCTTCGCATACCATTTACATGAAAGATTTCTCCCCATTCGAATTGGATTATTGTACATTTCTACTTTGTGACGTTCAATTTCCATCATCATCGGAACTGTTTCAGAGCATAGTACTCGTAATTTGTTATAGTAATAATAAAATAATTTAGTGAACATGAATACGTGAGCCAGAATACCACTTGAAATTTTTTGAGCATACAACACATTAGAGTGGTTTGATTTCCGGTTTTAAATAAAATAAAAATAATTCATATTCAAGTAGAAGTAATAGCTTCGCTAGCAGCTCGAGATACTGCGATAGTGATGTCTGATAGTGATGAGACTTACGACTTGACATATGACTGACTTATGTTCAAAGAGGATTACTTCACGTTCAACGCCAAAAAGGGTTGAAACGTTATGCAAGAAACAATTTTTTTTAAATGTTGTTACAATACAGTTAATCTTGATTGTTCTGTGTGTTAAAAACGAATGATAAAATATAAGTTTATATTTTTTGGATAAAGGAAATGTGTGCGGAGATTTGACATGCAAATTTTTCTTCGAGAAAATTCGTTGAAATGCATTGACCTTTTATCATTGTCAAGGAATGGAGTTGCCGTAGCAAAATATTTATTTACCGCGACATTTCTGAATGTCTTCCCGAAAACGTGTGGGTCCTACGGAGAACATGTTACAAATGCCGCCGCTTCTTTCTCATCAGGTATTCATTTTTAATTGATGTATAAACAATCTTGGTCTCAGTAAAGCAAAAGCCTTGTTTGTTTTTTTGTTCTCGAGGTTAGTGGTTTGATTGCGAAATTGTTGGTGGAATGATGGCTGGAGATGAGAGGTACTAATTACGCTGTTTAGCCATCGCATAAATTTCGTATGATCTTCGCGCTTCGCCCGCCTCAGGAATGTTTAGCCCGAAGTGAGAGGCGTTGGATATTATTTCGAAGAAACCGTGACAATGCATGCGACTATATTTTCAAAGAATTATTAAATATAAATATGAGATCAACATACAACATTTTAACTTTAAAATACACCAAAGTGTTCTCAGAAAGTGAACACATTGCTTACATCTTACAGTTCTTTTCTAAGCAAGTTTCGACATTATTAGGAAGATTCGAAAGAACTCGTGTGATCTTAATGTCTGTTGGTACTAAAAGCGTGCATTCGGCAAATGATTAGATCATTTACGTTTTCCAAATTGACTTCACCTGAAAACTTTTTTTTGTTTCCAGGAATCCAACTTCGATATGTTATGGGAGGAACCATTGACAACAACAAATGTCTGTAGTAGAACGGTGTGAATGGAAAACAACTAGTTACTATGAAATAAGAAAGTGATCATTTAAAATATTGTGATAATTATATTTTTGTTGATATTTAATTAATCTTTGTTTCATAAATATTCTTTCAATAATAAAAAAAATGTATGATAGTTTCCTTGCCCGCGACTTTGACATGCCTGGTGGATAATATCAAATCAAATATAAATTTTTTTTTTACTAAAAATTAACTTAAACTAAATAAAAAATGATTCCTATATTCTAATGTATTCATTGCAAATGAAACATACTATACAGTTTCATTTAAAAAGTCGAAGATGTTTGCATTTCTGTCATAAAAAAAAATTCTGCAGCATGTTACTTGTAAATGAAAACGAACTTTTCGATAAGGAATCTTTCTCCACTTATTGCAGAGAACTCTTCTCGTTGCTTCCTGATGATATTACCTTGATGTTTTGGAAGGCTGATAATACGTAAAGGCAAATGTGAACCTTAAATAACGTAGGGTCAAAACTCTAAAATGTCGTATTTAAAACCATTTAATTTTGGACAACTCGATCTGAAAATCGCACATTTAAAATGAAGAGGGTACTGAATGAATTTTGCTTAAAATTACGAATGGAGGTTTTGTTCACAATCCAGTAATTGACTTTGTTGTGTTTCGTAAGTTCATTAGTTTAACGTAATTCTCCTTGTCAAACACTAAACAATTTGTCTAGAGACCCCTGTAAAAATATATTTATAAAAATTCGTAAAGTAACAATTGAATATTATGAAGAACAATTGGCAAGAAATGTTTGTATATAATTAATGAAATGAGAAAACTTTATTTGTCAGTTCTAGAATATTTTTAGTCTTGTTCTATTGTGTGCGATTACGCTTCCATTCGCAATTATCGCGCTTTTGAAACTTCGACAAAGTTCTCGACGGAAGAAGTCGTTACCCGCGGGGACCGGGCGCCGTGGCACAGGTCACGTAGAAGGGTTCTCCTCTACCCGCATTACACTGGCTATTACCTTACAGAAGAGTGGGATCCATTAGACTCTCATTTCAGAAATGAGATACTTGACTTCGCCCTACGAAGGTCTTCGGCGAAGCTAGCAAACCTCATTTCAAACCGGGAGACTGGCAGCAAATGCTCTTCACATATTTCGACATTTACAGTAACCCTGTCTGCTCCACTTTCGTAGAGGTTAGATGGAGGGCGATGCAATTCTGTTCCCAGTTAGCGAGCAAACCTTCGCGCCCTTGAAAGATGCAAGTTCCATACGAATTACGGCGATGTCAGTCGTTGACGAAGTTCTTCGCGGACGGAGTGCGTGCCGCGCGCGGAGAGGTGCGAAGGCACGAACTTGCTCATCCTCTTGTTGCTCGCGTTACCTGCTCGTTGTGTTTGTGCTCGTCGGAGGAATGTGAGAACGTACGACTGCAGGCGCGATGCTCGTCCCTTTGCATAAGATTTGTGGCGCCTTTCGGAACGTGACACGTTCAGTCATATTTACCTTGGCTACGTATGCCACTTGGAAGATGATGTGTAATGTGCAAAGCCAGTCATATCCTAATTTTAGGTGCGAAATAACTTCTAAGGTACATGCATTTCCCACGACCTCAATTACCGACTCTGATTATTCTTACTGAAAAAAAACAAATTATCGAATTATTCTATGATTCTTTCGTTATAAATTCTTGTATGAACTAATATTAAAATTGGCATCCAATTAATAATTTGAAAATAATTTTCCAATATAAATGAATTTAAAATCTTTGGAGGTTAAGGATTATTGGAAAATATATTTTGAAGATTTCAAATGAAATTAAAGTATCACAAATGAACAAAGTGGCACTCTTTGCGGAAAAAAAATTCATCAAGAAACACAAAACGTCGTTGCTATAAAAATTACGAATTTGTGAAGTTTTTGATGTTAAGATCATCTGTTTGACTCCCTTGTGTTCATTAACGCAATAAATTCGGTTTTCCTTGGTGTCTGATTTATAAAGAATTTGCTGCAGTACTTTCATACCTTCTTGTGTACGTACGTGGTATACGGACCAACATACGTAGTTTAAAAGAAGGTTATATCATGTGTAAAATCGATTTTGGAAACGAAAATACACGGTTTGCCCCCTCCCCCCTTTCCAGTGCCGAAAAGGTGTTTTTGGTCAAAACGTCGGTCCGTTTGTCACATGAATAACTAGCGCCTAAACCATTTCCGGAATTTTCGCAAAATGAATATTCATCGATCGAACTGGTTATGTTAAAGTCACTTCGTGTTGTTGCTGTGGAAACGAATTATTTTAAATTAATTGTGTTACAAACTGAGAGTTACAATGCATAATAAAGGTAGCGAATAAATAAAAAGTACAAGTAATTACGAAATAAAATCAGAACACGTTCACAAACGGTACCGTCAGTTGATTTGACATCGTGTGTCAGGTGTTTGGGGCAGGTAAGCCAAAGCACGCAGGTTTCTCACCACTAATACGTAAAATATTAAGTTCTTCTTAAGAATTTTAAGGTAGATTTGAGAAGCCTTCTTGAATGCGAGGTGGATCCGTGAAGGCACCAAATATTTCGAAAAGCTCGATGAAAGGGATTTTGAAACCGGATTTCGCCTATTACAGATCACTGTACTATAGGTTTTGGAGCTAAGTGAAGACCGACTGGAATTTCCAAGTTTACTCCATAGTTAATTATTAACGAAATTAACATTTTAATATTTTGGTCCATAATTGTCTTGCAAGTAATATTTTTGCCTAACAAGTATTTTGTAGGTTATGTTTACATGGTCCAGTATCTACTTTAAACTTCCAAGTTTTACATTCAACAATTTTTATTGTATTTCCTATCTCACCTAAACCTAATACTCCCCACAACTTATTTAATGTTAGTTGTATTTCATGTCATTTAATGTTAGTTGTAACTCGTTGCTTTTTAATCGCTTTCAGTTTTTCTACAGTTATCATTTTTGTCGGTTTGTTGCTTCATTTGAAACATTTCTATAATAGACATGTACTTTCTCATATATTCGATGAGAACCTCTTTTGTCTGACGATGAAAATTTCCCAATCCCCTCTCCTTTCCCCATTATGAAAAATCACTAAAAATAATCTCTTTCAACTAGAGTACAAAGCAGAACCAAAACAAGCAAGGTTATGGTTACTAGTTATTTCACCAGGGACTAGCATTGCCAACCAACTCTCGGATGCATTTGAGTTATACTTCACTAATTATTGCTTCAAAGAGGGTGGTGAAACGACGAGCAACAAAGTATGACTTAAAATGTGTCTTAAAATTATGTATGACTTTACTAAGTCATACTGAAAAAGAATTTGGTGAAACCCGCCGTTTGGTTCTATTTTCGAAACCCAATGTTTTCAGTTGCATTTGAGGGGTAGATAATTCCGATGTTAGGGGTGCACCAAGGGGGTCTTTACAACACCCTAGGAGAGAAGTAGGTACCGAGAGAGGCTCTTTGTATTATTTTAGATACACACTAACTAGTACGAGAAAGTCTGTGACCTTATATTACCTCACTAATTCGTATATTTCGTTCCACGTTTATATAATACTTTTAATATAATTTTATAAAACTTTTGAGTTCTCGCGGAATAATCATATGAAACACACTAAAAAATGCAATGACATATTAAAAAACGATGATGCAACGATATAAAATAAATATTAACCACGTGAGAGATATTTCAAAAACTTACATTTGTGAAATTTTCGAAAAATGAAATCCTTGCATCAAAATGGCTTATATGTCATGTTATCCAGAGCAATTAGCACTGTCCTTACTAAAAGTTTGAAGAAAAAAAAAAAATTGGAGCCATTGTTAAGAAAATGTCGTTTGAACATTTGTGAAAATGCATGATTGTAAAGTCATTTTCACAGAAGATATTTGAGTTTTCCAGGAAATTTAATAAGAAATCAGTTGAAGCACTCGTACTCATAAATGCAATTATGTATGAAAACGCCCGTAATACAAATATTAACGACGTGATAGATGTTTCAAAAACATAACTTTTGGTTATTTTCGAAAAATCAAATGTATACATCAGAATTGCCATGATGTTATAATATTCAGTGTATTTACCGCTTTTTGCATAAAAGATAAAGAAAACTTTTGGTTCTGTTTTTGGGGGAAAATGTTTATAATATTGCCCATGTTTACTCTAGAATTACATGAAAACCACAAGTATTTAAACGAATGTCCTTGTCATTAATTGAAGGAAGTTCAAGTGGGGTTATTTATGTGTATGTATATAGGTATGTATGTATCAAAATGTAATGGAGCAATTATTTTAAACTATTTATGTTAGGAATTAAATCTAATGTTATTGTTTTTTAATGTTAACACGATTTTTTAGTTAAGAGGTTTTACATTTATTGAGCTGCATAATCCTTAAATTTAGGGATTTCTGGCGGAAGGCAACGGAATGGCGATCCGGTACCTCGGAAATTAAATTATACTAAAAAAATATATTTATTTCTATTAAATTAATTAGTAATTTGATGTGCGTTCCGGAACCGAAAATTTTATAAATGAAGCACTGCTTTATATATGTACTGTATATTGGACTATGTTAACGATGCAAATAATTGCAAACAACTCGTTCCTCTTCAACTACTTTAACACGATCTACTCCTTGAATCGATGCCAAGTACTCACTGTTTTCTCTATGTATTCCCTGCATTGGTATTTTGAAAAAGAAAACTCCTGTCAGTCCGGGGCGTGGAGGAAGCGCGGAAGGACAGGTCGGGACGTGCTTCTCGCAGTGCATACATAATACCCTGAGTATTACGGAGTCGCACTCGTTTGGCAGTAAAAGCGCCAGCCCGCACCGGCAACAACAGTGGCGATTCCCATGCGTTTCTGTGCGGGTATTCCCCTTCAATGAAAACAGGCTGACTCAGCCTCTGCCGCCGCCGCCGCCGCCGCCGCCGCCACGACCGCCACCGCCTTCGCCGACTCTCTCGTCCGCAATACCATTGGCCC